GTGGCGGGCGGGCGGGCTGCGAAGCGGGCAGCAGGACGAGCGGGCTGCGAGCGGGCGGCTCGGCGGGCGGGCGACACTGCGAGGGGCGCGCGAGGGCGCTAGTGAGGGGCGCGCGAGGGCGCTAGCAAGGGGCGCGCGAGGGCGCTAACGAGGGGCGCGTGAGGGCGCTAACGAGGGTGCGCGCGAGGGCGCTAACGAGGGGCGCGCGAGGGCGCTAACGAGGGCGCACGAGGGCGCTACGAGGCTAGGGCACGGGGTAGCGTGGTAACCGCATGCGAGCGGTGGTGGGCCCTTAAAAAAAACGGTCGGTAGGTCCTAGGGACCTCCTGCTCTGAATACCATTTCAGAATAGCTAGGCAAGAATGATTGAACTAGCAGAAGTTTGGGTACAAATATGAAACCCTAGTTGGGGTTGTACCCCATATTGGCTACCCCACTACATCCTACAAGCATAATACAGTTTAACACTAACAGCATGCAGTAGTACAAGTAGGAAACCCTAATTTGGTTGTACCCCATATGGGCTACCCCACTACAGCCTAGACAATATGCAGCATACATGTTTGACAGAACAAAGGGTCACAAGACCAGTCCAGCAAAGCAACGCAAGCCCAGGGTGGATCACAACGTCACCACACTCCGAGCACAAGCAAAGGCCACAAGGCCAGTTCACATGCAGTGCTAGATACAGAACAAGACAAGCAACACAGTGATCAAAACCTAGCAAGCAAGCAACAAGATATATATAAAGTACAGTACAAAGAAAGTCAAGCAGTAAGCAAATGAGGGAATGTGGACACAAGGCCTAAAGAAGTACAGTGCCGCTGATGATCACTAGGCGGGAGCGCCTTGGTGAAGATATCAGCAGTATTGGCCTTCGAGTCCACGTACACAAGCCGAAGCTGACCGCGCTGCTGCAGCTCTCGAGCAAGAAAGTAGCGAAGAGCAATGTGCTTCGTCCTGTGCTCCAGTCTGTGCTCCTGACACAAGGCAAGGGCCGCCTTGTTGTCGCCGTACAGAACTAGAGGAGAACTAGGCCGCTCTCCCAAGTCAGTCAACAGGTAGGTGAGCCAGCGTAACTCCTGTGCAGCCATGGCCGTGGCGTAGATCTCAGCCTCACAACTAGAGCTGAGAACAGAAGAAGAGCGGGTGGACCGCCACGAGACAGAACCAGAGCCAAGGCTGAAGGTGTAACCCTGTCACGAGACGGGTGGTGGGCCCTAAAAAAAAACGGTCGGTAGGTCCTAGGGACCTCCTGCTCTGATACCATATCAACAGGACTAGGCAAGAATGATGCATTGAATGAAACAGTTGGGTACAAGTAGCAAACCCTAGTTGGGGTTGTACCCCATATTGGCTACCCCACTACAGCCTACCAACATATAACACATTACAATTTAACACATGTAGATTTAGCAGTAGTGTAGTTATCACATTCTGTTTGGTGGATTACCCCCTTTCCTATCATATTTGTACCATTGATTCTATAGTGAAGCACCTCTTTCATTGCCAACTCTCTCCACACTCTACCTCCTTGCATGGCTCCTAAGACTCAACCCTAACTACTATTCTTGACATGATACAGAGTTGGTTCTTTCCCGGAACCTTCTCTTTTTTTTAAGAATCATGGGCCCGCCCGTACTACAGCGCGAAATGCGCTATTTTTTTTTTCCCGTTCGCCCGTCGCGCGCGCCCTGCCCGTCCCCCCGAACGTGCCACGTCGGCTGCCCCGCGGACGCCCTGCCCGTCGCCCGCTGCCCCCCCCGTTTCGTTTCACGCGGCCCCCGTTTCGTCGCCCCGCGGCCCCCCTCGTCACCCCGCGATCCGCCAGCGCCCGCGCCAGCACGGAGCGCAAGCGCCTGTGCTAGCGCGTCCCGCCAGCGCGGAGGCCAGCGCCGCGGCCAGCCGCCAGCGCCAGCAGCAGCTACTGCCGCCCCACTCCCCCCCGCCCTCCCTTCCGCGGCTTTCGTCGTGGGGAGGGGGGAGGGAGGGGGAAGGGGTTGTGGGGGGGGGGGGGGGGGGGGCGGGTGTGAGGAGCCTGCCACTCCTCCCTCCCTTCCCTCTTCCTCTCTCCCTGCAGCAACTGTTGCTATAGGGGGGGGGGGGGGTGAGAGAGGGTAAGGGGGGATGTGAGAGGGTAAGGGAGGGTATGAGAGAGAGTGGCAGAAGCAGCCGCCCTGCATTTGCACCTGCCACCCCCTGCTACTGTGGCACCTCCAGCTGCAGCCCCTGTCGCCACCTACTTCCTCTCTTTCGTTTGCTGCTGTTGAGCGGCAGGTGCTGCCGTTGAGCCTGCTGTGCCGCCGCTCGTTGCCGCCGCACGCCGCTCTCCAGGCGACCTGCGCCACATGCACCTTCATTTCGTTTCTGTATTGGCTAAGGGGTTTCTGCAGTTGTTTCTGCCACTGCTGCACTGGTTGTCATTGCTCTTGCGTGCTAATGCTTTCAGTACACTTGCAGGTTGTGATTTATGCTTTGCTATTCCTGCATGCAGTTAAGGGGGGATGTCAGAATTATATTATTGTAACTGCATGTAGATCTAGCAGTAGTGTAGTTATCACATTCTGTTTGGTGGATTACCCCCTTTCCTATCATATTTGTACCATTGATTCTATAGTGAAGCACCTCTTTCATTGCCAACTCTCTCAACACTCTACCTCCTTGCATGGCTCCTAAGACTCAACCCTAGCTACTATTCTTGACATTGACCCACGGGTTTTAACGTGTTTCAGGCGATCGCGAATAGGTGTAATGCGTAAGCGATTCCCGCTTCAGATTTTGCCAGCACGTGGGGCATCCGCCACAAACCATCCCCGTAGTTGAAAACGAAAGATTTTATTCCTTCTACTGCAATCTAACGGGGTGTGGAATACAGGGGGATCGGAAGCCTAGACTAGGCTGTTTAACAAAGCAGCGAGTTTAGGTGAACATAAAGATTTTTCCCTCTCTGGGGATACAAGTCCATGTAGGTCCCAAAACGCGGTCGTCCAAATTCCTTGCGAAAATACCATTGCAATTCGATCAAACCGGGGTGACTACTCTGTGGGCGTTACCCTAAATAATTCGCAATCCCCAGAACCGCCCGATCTTGAAGTGGCCCAGTTGGTTAGCTGTGTCACTTCCGATGGGTGAGGTTCCGGGAGCAATCCCCCGTGCGGACGAGTTCCGTCAGCCTCCCAGAAGGGGGTTTGCACGTGCTCACCTTGGGAGTGGATATTCATAACCTTGTTGACCTAGCGAGTCTAAACAATTGGGGAGGCGGGTTACCACTGACAGCCAGGTGTGGGTAACACCCAGAGGGGTTTCCCCCCCTCCTTTACCCCAGAACCGCCCGAATGGTCGACCATTTCGTTTGGTCATTACAAATTTACACGACCTAAGCAGCATCATACACAATAAAAATCAAGGGTGTAGAGTTGGTTTGAAACAAGATACTGTACAGCTGGGAACAATGTGTGCCACAGTAAAACGCAGTGGCTGGAGAGGAATTCTCAGGTGTTGGACTTGAGCCGCAGGTAAAATGTACCACCTGCGCCGGGAATACATTGAACAGAACAGAACACAAGCGCGGAGTGCGCTGTTCACCCTGCAAACCCTCATGCTGAGATTTCCAAAGAGCGTTGAAAACGCCGCTGCGGTTGATAGTTCTTACCTAAGTTCCTAAAACGTTGGAGGAATGTCAGGTGTGCTCACCCAGGTTTAGAAGGCGTATCGACCATAACACGACTGAAGTGCATAAGTATTTTTTCCTTCCAGGTCACAGGACACAGTCTCCCGTCCGTCGCAGTAACCCTTTCCTTCAGATGAACTTCTGTGGCTGGAGTCTCTCCCTCGCATGCCTAGACTGAAATTCCCGCCAGGCAGAATTTTCGTCAGGGGCGGCGACAACACGGAACGGAACAGAAGGTAGGACTGAGGAGAGGAGGCAAGCACATGGGGCGGGTGGGAGGGACGGGAGGCACGCTAGGACTGACGCTAACAGATTCAGTCCCAGAACGGAATTCACGGTCAAGCAGGAGAATTGGCGTGCCTTTTCCCCCTAGTTCCCATGCAAATCGAGGCTTCCCTCTCACATCAATGTAGGAGAGTTGTGCGGGAAGGCTTCGCCGCTCCACTGCTACCATCCCCACCCATCCCTCGCGCTTATCTCGGTCCCTCTCGTTACAGTAGCCCCTCCCGCGGTTCTGCCGAGCGGTTGGTGAGCTGAGGTCGAATACCACAAACCTATCGACGGTTTCTAGGTGCATTTTAGATTATTCTCCAGGACCAGTCCTGTGCGATTGTATGTGATTAGCAAGACCTGACACTGAGATAAGCGTCGTGGCCGGCAATAATAGGTTTGGCCGTGCCATCCCGCTCATAGCGGCGAACGCTCTTTCGCGAAACCGATCGCAAAGAGAAGAAGCAAGGAAAGAGAAGAACTCGATCGTCCCCATTTCAAGTGCTTCCCCGTCACCAGTCATGTCGACATCCTACCAACTCCACGCCTCACCCACACTATTACTGCTCGCCCTCGTAGCCATTTTCTCCTGCGGTCCGAGTCAGGTGCTCGGTGACATGCGGCCCGGGTGCGTGAACAAGTACAAGTGCCCGAACCGCGAGACGAAGCAGTGCGGAGTGTTCTACAACTGCATGCCGGGATCGACGGCCAGCATCGAGAAGGCTTCTATCACCACATGCGGCAGTTGCTCCTTTAACGAGCCGTGAGTGACTAGCGAGGCGGGAGTGACTATATGGAGCCGTGAGTGACTAATGAGGCGGGAGTGACTATATGGAGCCGTGAGTGACTAACGCGGGAGTGACTATATGGAGCCGTGAGTGACTAATGAGGCGGGAGTGACAATATGGAGCCGTGAGTGACTGACGCGGGAGTGACTATATGGAGCCGTGAGTGCCTGCACTGATTCGTAAGCGAGTAACGATCCGTTTTCTGCGCGCCAAAATGCGAGGCCTCGGAAGAAGTAGGCCTTCTTACATGCGTTAGGGGCATGAGGCGACCTATGACGCTGCCAGGCTGTTGGGATTTCATTTCCCACAGGTACAGATTCCCTTCCTTTTCCTATATTGCCCCTCCTTTCCCCTACCACCTTCTCCACCTTGGCTATCTCTCGCCTCTTACTTAAACCCTCCCTTCTTTTTTCCACTCCCCCTTTCTTCCTCTCTCCTCCGTTCTCTTTTTGTTTCCTTCTCTCCCTTTTTTTCTCTCTGTTGTGCACGATGCAGCAAGAAGGCCTTCGCGTCTGTGTGTAACTACGAGTATGGCAGATGCGTGCCCAACACCATTGTAAGTTCCTCCCACTTAGCTCGTGTTACGTATTCTTTCTTTATCGCGGGTCGCATGAATGCAGTCGTTGGTGCGCAGAGAGATGTTTAAGTAGGTTGATAATCTCGTATGCTTTTCTGATGGGGTTGCTCGCGCAAGCGCGCACGTCACAGCACTTACCATCCTCGTTATTGAGTTGTCCAATTGCAGGATGGGAAACTCTGCACAGCAGATACTGAGTGCGCTGCTCCCGGCGTTACAGGCTTCACGTGCCGCCCAGTTAAGACGAACAAGACGCTGAAACGATGCTGCAGGTGAGCATTTCAGTGGAACGACGATCGTGAATATATGCGGTTGAGCGGAAGGAGGGGGTATAAATAGAAGTCCGATTGTTGTAGGCACTTACGTGCGCTCCCGTCCTAATCCCTGCGGTTTATGTTTATGCCGTTGCGTTCTTCCCTACCCACAGGGCCAAGTGTCCGCCCGGCATGTGCGGAGCTCGGAAGAAGCCTCTCAAGTACACCAATGCATGCGGAGAACAGATCGTATGCCCTGGAGTGTGCCCCTAAACTGCTTGAGCTGATTCCTATTGCGGCTCAGGTGCTCCCGCTTCTCGTTATATCGAGCCCTTCTGAGGTCTTGGTTGTGCAATATGTTGTATTTGTATTGTGTACCAGTAGTTTTCAGCTCCACAAATAGGTGCAGGGTGTGGTGTTTTATTGCAATGGCGTGCATAGTTGTGATGCCATGTGATATAACAAGGCAAAGTACTAAGACATGCATCTGTCAAACTCTAATGGTGATTGCCAGGCCTCTCGATATCAGGGTAAAACACCCTTATGGCCCTTACTATAAGGGTGAGTTTAGGTGTTCACCCTTGTTTTTAAAAGTTGTTTTCTGAGGCACCCTTAGCCGAAAAAGTGTTCATTTGGTTAACACTGATATTTAAGACAGGCCTGGTGTACTCGCCCTGATGACAAAGACTAGTGTCGCGTACCACCCTTATGCGATTTGACGCGGGGGGGGGGGGGGGGGGGGGGGGGGGGTTGGGGGGGGGGGGGGGGGGGGGGGGGGGGGGGTACTGACGAGATTTGGGCCGTGATTAGCGGCGTTTTGCACGAGTCAGCGCATGTGCGCGTCGCCTAGACGGCTCGCGTCGCCACTGCCACAGTCCTGTCAACTGTACCTGGCTCACCTGCAACAGGCAATGCCGCGCAGCGCCACACACACCTGCTTCGTGCAGGAGGTGTGTCCTGCTTGGAAGCATCTTCTTCCCTCCTCAGCAGGCCCCCACCCACCGACCAGTCTCTCCCACGCACCCAACTCAGTCCTCCTCGTTTCATTTCTCAATTCTGCCTCCTCGCTATCTCGTCTAGTCAAGGGTTTGCAAACCACCCCACTACCACGCTCTCATACAGCTAGAGTAGGCCCTGCTCCTGCATCCACCCGTCTGGCCTTCGCCATGGCTGCTGACGAAACCACTGATGGTGACGACGAGGCACGTCATCAACTCCAAAAATCACCCCCGCGAACGGGCCTCAGCTTTCTACGAACCCTCGCTAAGAAGCTGTCAGATCCGGTTCCCGTAGTTGCATCTACCGAGGATGAAACCCGCGTGGATGAATCGGGGCGTGACCTGCGCTCACCTGAAGTTTGCACTACCACGACGGAACCTTCACCTCCAGAATCGACGGCTCCTGAAACGGAGATAGGCGATGCGGCTGGCGACTCTGCGAACAAGAAGCGCAAAGAGTCAAGCGGTGGCAGTGCTACGCAGTGGTGGCGACAACCGAAGCCTGTCAGAATGTGATGGTTGTCTAGCCTGCAGTGGGGTACTCTATAGCGAGTACAGCCCTTATAGGGTTTGCATATATGTATCCCTATGCTTGTTAGTCAAAACCCTTCTTGCCTGTTTCTCGTTTTGGCCTAGCATTTTGACATGCTATCAGAGCGGGTCGACCCTCCTGGGGTGGGTGGTCCCACCAGAAGCTTCCGCTGTTGTTTCCTGCTGTTTCCTGCCTGCCGCGCGCTCCGGGCGCGCAGCGATTTTTTCTTCCCGCCGCGCGCCCGGAGCGCGCGGCGGTTTTCTGCCCCGTCACTCGGCGCGTCGCCCCCGGGAGGCGCTGCGACGGGCGACGGGGACCCGCGCGTCGCCCCCCGTCGCCCGTCGTGGCCTGCGCGCGGCCCGTACAGCCGGCGCGCGGCCCGTACGGGCTGCGCCAGGCCCGCGCGCGGCCCGTACGGGAAGCGCCAGGCCCGCGCGCGGCTCGGGCCGCCTGCGCGCGGTTCGGGCGGCTATGCCAGGCCCGTGGGCGGCCCGTTCCTCGCTGCCCCTGCCCTCCCCACTGTCCCCCGTGCTTCTACTGGCGCCCCACCCCTCCTACAGCCCGTTCTCCTGAATTAGGGTTTGGGGGTGAGGGGTATGGGGGTGAAGCCACTGAGTGCCGTTCCCCTCCTCCTCCTCCTTCTCCGTCTCCCACTACTGCAGCTGCCGCTGAGGGGGGTGGGTGTGTGGGAGCCGAGGGAGTGGCGCTAGGGGTGTAGTAGTGTGAGCGGTGCTAGGGGAACAGCAGGGGGTGTGTAAAAAGGGGGTGGGACAGCTGGGGGAAGTTGAGAGGAGGCCGTCGACTTGTCGTCCGCAGCGCCTGAAGTCCAGGGAGCCACGACCCCCTGTGGCCTGAGTAGTCCGGGGCTCTGCGCCCGGTAGCTACAGTGTGTGCACTCCTGGGAGCACAGCGAGCCAGCTGCGACCCCCTGTCGCCGTGTAGTCCGGGTTTAGCCTGGTAGCGTCAGTGCGGCGTACTCCTGCTGCTTGTGCGTCTGCAGCTTCAGCCGTCGCCTCTCATCTTCTTGCTCCCACAGTTTCTCCTCCTCCTCACTTGCCCTCTGTGATAGCCTCTAGCTTTGCTTATAATTGTGAACTATTGCTCTGTCTGCTTGTTATGTTGATTGTACCCCACTTTGACTATGGGGGTGTGTCAGAATGTGATGGTTGTCTAGCCTGCAGTGGGGTACTCTATAGCGAGTACAGCCCTTATAGGGTTTGCATATATGTATCCCTATGCTTGTTAGTCAAAACCCTTCTTGCCTGTTTCTCGTTTTGGCCTAGCATTTTGACAAAGCCTTCTCTGAAGCGGGCGGCACGTCCAATCCGACGAGTGGAGGACGAGGGGAGTGATGACGAGGAGGATGAAGACGGCCTGCCGACTGTCCAAGAGATGGCCCGTTACCCCGAAGTCGCTTTCGCTAAAGCGCATAAGCGATTTAAGACGTCATGGGAGTCTTTGTTTCCGTGGCTAATTTTAACTCGTGATGACGTTGGCTTCCCCATTTTGAGATGCAGCACGTGCTTGGAACATGGAGCTGAAGGCGCGAAAACGGCTTATGGCAAGGGAGGCAGTGGAGGGCGTGACATGCAGAAGGGGAGCATCCGGACGCACCAGCGCTCCACCGCACACCAGGACGCACACGCCGAGATAAAGTCGAAGGAGAGCCGGAAGCTTCGTCAAACGCTGCTGAGCGAGTTCGAGGGGTTGGATCGCAGCACGCTGCACATCATCACCGCTCTCAAGACTACCGTGCACATCTGCAAATCGGAGGCGCCAATCACCTCCTACGTGGGCACCATCAAGTTCATGGCCGAGCTCGGAGTCCCGAACCTTCCCTTGGATTCCAAGGGAAACTACTTTTCCGAGTAAGTTTCGGGGTATGAGCTGTCGTTGTACTTGCTTCGTTACAATTGACTTGATTGGCAACGTGCTAACCTCCGTGCTTGTATCATGCAGGTACGGTTTCGGGGAGCTACTAGATGCTGCCGCAAAGTACATGCGGCAAGAGCAACTGAAGCAGATCGAGGCGAGCCCGTACATCTCCATTCAGCTTGATGAGAGTACAGACAAGGCGCGCGGCAAGCACCTGATCGTCTACGTGACCTTCATGAAGGACAGAGCAAGCGTCTGTGAGTTCCTCTCGCTGCTGACAGTTGACAAATGTGACGCAGCAAGTCTCGTCGACGTGCTTCTGACCCACCTTGACGCCGTGGGCATTGACATGTCCAAGATCGTTGGAATCAGCACCGACGGCGCCAGAGTAATGACGGGCACCAGCAATGGTGTTGTGGCACGACTCCGGCTGCGGAATCCCTATCTCGTGTCGTGCCACTGCATCGCACATCGGTAAGTCCGTCTGTGTTACTGGCTTTAAGGCAAGTGTGTTGCGTTGATCATGTACTGCCCACTCACTTCAATCTCTCGTTTTCTCTGTTCTACCTTGAGCAGGGAGGCGTTGGCCGCGAAGGATGCCGCTGATAAGGTGACGGAGTTCAACATCATAGACCAGGCGGTGCGGAACGTGGCGGAGCAGCTTTCGAGGTCGAGCAACTGGCACCGGCGATTTGAGCACCTTCAGGAGTACATCTGCGAAACCAACTTGGAGCTGCAGGGGATCCACGATGTGCGATGGCTCTCTAAAGGAGAGGCAGTCAAGCGGTTCGCCAAGGTTCTGCCGGCGACGATCGTCCTGCTGCACGACTTCAAGCACGCGCTCTATGAAGTCGTCACCTCTTTCAAATTCCACTTCATGCTTTTCTTCCTTGCAGACATTCTTGCCGTGCTCAACGAGCTCAACGCCAAGTTCCAGAAGCAGCAGGTGACATGTGGAGTGTTTTGGTTGTACATGTTTGCGGTTGTTTCCCAGCCTTGTTCCCGATTGTTGTAAGTGGCGGTTGTTGTGTGCCCTTTCTGACCCATTGTACATCAACCTCTAGCAGCACCTATTCATCCCACCCCCACTCACAGGTTGACATCACGGTGGTCGCGGGGGAGGTGTCGCTCGCTTGCCGGACGATCGAGGTGCGTTACGTGGACTGCGAGGATCGTTTCGGCAACGATCAGTCGCCCCTGCTCTGCGCGTTCCTGAAGAAACACGGCAACCCCGAGCACCGCGAAGTCACCGTCAAAGGTGTGGACCAGAACGGCGACGCTGCAGAGCACAAGTTCGAGCTTCACGAGCGCAAGATCCCAGGCCATAAGACTGGCGGCGACTACTACTCCTGCAAGGCGCTGTGCCAGGAGTTTGCGAAGGTCTGCGTTGCGCGACTGGAGTTCCGCCTGGAAGACCTCAAGGACCTGGCCGGCTCCAAGCTTTTCCGGCCGTCGTGCTATCCCGACGACAACGCGCAGCGGATGAAGAAGTGCCGCGAGTGGTTGGGCATGCTAGACCACATGTTTCACCACCGCCTCTTTGGTACGCCACCTGGTTGCGCCTGCAATGTGCTGTCTGCTCTAAGTGTGTGTGTACCTTAGTGTGCTGTTAAACACCTCCCATACGCCCCGATCTCCCCTCTCACTGCTCTGCTCTCCCATCTTGTCAGGTGTGTGCTTCAAGGCATGCGAGAGGGAGCTACCGTTGTTTCTCCACACCATGGATACCAACCACGGCAACATGAGCTTCCATAAGTCGCTCGCGCTCATGCTCCAGTCAACTGACTACATGGGAGCTTACCCGAACCTTGTGCAGCTGTGGCAGGCCGTAGCTGTGCTCCCACTCAGCACGGTGGAGTGCGAGCGTGGCTTCAGTCGCCAGAACCGTATCAAGACGTGGAAACGGACCTGCCTGGGCAACGCCAAACTGGGCGATCTGATGACTGCAGCACTCCTGCCCAGTGATGGTCTGAACTGGGTGAATATGGTAGCCGTGTTCAATGCTAGCAAGAAGCGCCGTCCTACCCAGGAGTTCCTGTATTGACTTGTGCTGCTCTGCTCCCTTGCTAGGAGCATTCTGCTGAGACCGGGCCAGGCCAGACCATCCCATTTGTAGGTCCTGCTGTTCTAGTTCTAGTCATGTAGTATTGTATGATTGTATCGTACATTACATGTTGGCAAAAAAAAATTGGTACAACTAACCGAAACCACAGCACACTGACGAGCAAGAGTAACACTGCAGCCAACACTGATAAACAAGACTGACATGGCTGCCCCACCCTTACTGAAAGACCAGGTTTGGCAAACTGCCCTTTCGACTAAGAGTACTTCCAATCCTATCCAGAGGCCTGGTGATTGCTGTTTGTATGCTGTAGTGGGGTACAACACCTTCTAGGGTTTCTATTTGTATCCCAACCCTTGCTAGTCCCATTCATTCCTGTCTCTTATCTCGACATGGTTCCAGAGGAGTAGGTCCGTAGGACCGTTTTGTTGGAGCCCACCATTTGCTACCCCACGCCCTGCCCTGTGCCGCCCGCGCGCCGCCTCATGCACCCCGCGCGCCTCCTGTCAGCTGCCCGCGCGCTGCCGCTGCAGCCCCGCACATCCCCCTTGCGGCCCGCGCGCCACCCGTGCCGGCCCGCGCGCCACCCGTGCCGGGCCGCGCGCCACCCCTGCCGGCCCGCGCACCACCCCTGCAACCCGCGCGCACCCCCTGAAGCCCCCCCCCCCCCCCCCCCCCCCCCCCCCCCCCCAGCACTCGCGCGTCGCCCCTGCAGCCCCCCGCGCCACCCCGCAGCCCTTGCGCTGCCCCCAGCGACCCCGCGCGCCGCCCCTTCAGCCCCGCGCGCCACCCCGCAGCCCTCGCGCTGCCCCAGCGACCCCGCGTGCCACCCCTGCAGCCCCGCGCGCCACCCCGCAGCCCTCTCGCTGCCTCTGTGACCCCGCGCGCCGCCCCTGCAGCTTCAGACGCCACCCCTGCAGCCCTCGCACTGCCCCTGCAAACCCGCGCGCCGCCCTAGCAGCCCGCGCGCTGCTTTGCCCGCGCACCCGGCCCGTGGGCCCGGCCCTGCCTGTCAGAATCTACAGGCAGGAATGAGAAACAGGAAAGAGGGGTTGCACTAGCAGGCAGTTGAGTACATATAGCAAACCCTAATTTGGGTTGTACTCGCTATAGAGTACCCCACTGCAGGCTAGACAAACATCACATTCTGACACACCCCCATAGTCAAAGTGGGGTATAATCAGCACAGCAAGCAGTCATAGAGCAGGTTCACAAATACAAGCTAAGCTAGAGGCAGTCACAGAGGGCAAGTGAGGAGGAGGAGAGACTGTGAGAGGAGTGGAGATAGAAGGCAACAGGTGAAGCCGCAGACACACGGGCAACAGGAACGGCGCGCACGGTGGCTACCGGAGCACTCAACCTCCGGACTACAGGAGTAACTGGCTCCGCGCTAAGCTGCAGGAGCAACGGACCCACGGGCGACTGGCGCAGCAGGCTCGCTGGGCTACCGGAGTACTCAACCCCCGGACTACTGGCGCTGCTGACGTCACAACGGCTACCTCCGGTCAACCTCCCCCAACTGTCCCACACCCCTTTCACACACTCCCTGCTGTACCCCTAGCACCCCTTTCACACACGCCACCCCCCTCGTACCACTCCGACGGCTCCAACACATCCACCCCCCTCAGCGGCAGCTGCAGCAGTGGGAGACGGAGGAGGAGGAGGAGCAGGGGACGACGCACACACCCTTCACCCCCATACTTGCCACCCCCACACTCGCCACCCCCAAACCCTAACACAGGCAGCAGCGGGGGGCGGTGCGCGGGCAGCAGCTCAAGGGATGGCGCGCGGCTCCCCAGGGCGCCGCGACGGGGCAGCGGGGGGCCGCGCGCGGCTCCCCAGGGCGCCGCGACGGGGCAGCAGGGGCCGCGTGTGGCTCCCCAGGGCGCTGCGACGGGGCAGCGGGGGGCCGCGCGCAGGCCTGCGGGGCGACGCGTCGGGCTCCCGGGAGGCGACGCGACCGTCGACGGGGGGCAACGCGCGGGTCGACGGGGCAGAAAACCGCCGCGCGCCTCGGGGCGCACGGCGGGAAGAAAAACTCCACGCGCCATGAGCACGCGGCAGGCAGCAAACATCGCGCGCCCAGGGCGTACGATAGGCAGAACATCAGCGGAAGCATCGGATGGGACCGCCCACAGGATCGACCCAGGAGGGTCGACCTGCTCTGATAGCATGTCAGAATCTACAGGTAGGAATGAGAAACAGGAAAGAGGGGTTGCACTAGCAGGCAGTTGAGTACATATAGCAAACCCTAATTTGGGTTGTACTCGTTATCGAGTACCCCACTGCAGGCTAGACAAACATCACATTCTGACACTGCCCTGCCCGCGCGCCTTGCCTTGCCTGCGCGCCTTGCACTGCCTGTGCACCGTCGCTACCGCCTGCTCGCGTCCCTACCCTGCCCCGCTCCAACGGCCATGGCCACTCTCAACGTCCTTTCATTTGACCCTGAGGGCCGCCCAATAGAGTTTGCAGCGTGGCTCGAGGATCTGCAGCTGTACTTACTGATTGATGCTAAGGACGGCGTATCCCTATATGACAATGCGTCTAGCACCTCAGTCGCTCCTCCCGACACAGCTGACAGTCTAGCTCGCTTGCAATGGCTTACCGGTGACGCTGCTGCTTGCCTAGCCATCCGAAACCACCTGCCGTTAGCTGAACGCGCTCACTTTGGCCAGCATAAAACCGCTAAGGCACTGTACACTGCTGTAGTCGCTCGCTACTCTTCCCTTGCCACTGCTGCTCTCAGCCGCCTTATCCTGCCCTACCTGTTTCCCGAGCTGTCCTCCTTTGCCACAGTTGAGGACCTCATCTCCCACCCACGCGCTAGTCGTTCGCTAGGACCTCATCTCTCCCCCCCCCCCCCCCCCCCCGCTGTACATCACACTCTACTACATAGTCACCCGACTCCCTGACTCTCTTCGCGTAGTCAAGGACCACTTTTTCGCGCTTAGCCCCACAGACCTCACCTCCTTGCAGCCGAGGCTAGCATTGTAGTTGTGGGTGCTTCTCGTGGCACTCCTCGCACTCCCCTCTTTGAGGGGTGTGTCCCCTCCCCCCCCGCCCCCTCTCACGCTTCTGCTGCTGCTGTTGACTTCCTTGGTGCTGAGGAGGTCGGTGCTGCTTCTGCTCCTAGTGGGAAGCGCCGCAACGACAAGGGCAAGGGAGGCAAGGGTGGGGGCGGTGGCAGCGTGGGGGGAGGTGGCGGAGGTGGCGGTGGGAGTGGTGGCGGGAGTGGAGTGGAGGTGTCGGCGGCGGCAGCAGCGGCACCGGTGGGAGTGGTGGTGGTGGAGGTGGCGGCAGTGGGAGCGGTGGTGGCGACAGTGGTGGCGGTCGGGGTGGAGCGGTCCAGAGGGGAGGTTCTGGTGGTGGACAAAGGCAGCAGAAGCAGCGCCCACGTGAGACCCTTACGCCCCAGCAGCTTCGTGAGTGGTATGCTCAGCGTGGGGCGTCTGGGGGTAGTGTTCGCTGTCAGTATGCCATTCGCACAGGTGACTGCGCTGATCAGACATGCGGGAAGTTCCACACTCAGAACCGCTGCTTCTCCCGCCTTGACGACGCTTGGCGCGCAAAGTTTGGTGACGGCGCTGAGACGCCCCGCTGGGCAGAGTTGCTTAAGTCTGGTATTGACATCTTTGCTCTTGTCTTTGATGCTATCCTTGCTGGCATGTATGCTTTGACTGAGGGTGACTGTTACTTGTGTGTGCCGCCCGACCCAGCTATAGGAGCTGCTGCTCTATGTGCTATTGAGTCCGCTCTCTCTGGTACTGCGTCTGCTGAGGCCTTGCACACCTTCACACTTGTTTCAGGTGCTTCCCGCTGCTTCTTGCGCGACAGCACCACAGTCACACCCCTCCCTAGACCTGTTGCAGTCTCCTTGGCTGACCCCTCCGGGGGCCCAGTTCTTGCACGTTCCTCCACTGTGCTCCCGTGTCCGGCGGTTCCGTCCGGCTCACTGTCAGGTCTCCACCTCCCCTCGTTCTTGACGAACTTGGAGAGTAACGCTGTCCTTCAGGACGCCGGGGTTGATACCTTTACCCCGGGACTGCAGCGTGTGGCCATTTCACGTGCTCCCGGACTGGCCGTCACCTGGCCACGTTCACTCGTCGGCCTGGGTCGAGCCTATACACGCTGACCACTGCCCGGTCTCAGGTCGCTGCGTCTGCTCAAGTGACTGCGTTAGGTTAGGTAGCAACCTCCTATGAGTGTCGCCGCCTGTCACACCAGACCGTCCTTTGGCACCACCGCCTTGGTCACCCCTCCCTGCCACGCCTCCGTGGCATGCACTCCCGCCTCCTTGTCTCTGGTCTTCCCAGGTCTCTACCTGCCCTCCCTCCCTCGCCTGCGTCGCCCTGCATTCCTTGCGTCGAGGGGCGGCAGCGCGCCACTCCTCACTCCTCCGAGTTTCCCCCGACGAGTGCTCCCCTGCAGACTCTCCACATGGACGTGTGGGGCCCAGCCCGCGTCCAGGGACAGGGCCGCGAGCGGTACTTTCTGCTGGTTGTTGATGACTACTCGCGTTACACCACGGTCTTCCCCT